GGTCTCCCAGAGTGCTGGGATTACAGGCGTGAGCCACCGCGCCCGGCCTGGGAAGTCCTGAAATAGGTAGGAAACAGGTATGGCAGCGCACAGCAGCGCAGTGCTTTATAGCCTCAAAACTGTTCACGCTCTTGGCCTCACCGGAGCAGCACGCCCCTCCCCATGCTGTGAAGTCCAGTGAGCGAGCGTGCTGCCTGGGGAGGACCGACCCAGCCTCCTTGTGTATTTGCATTTGTCAGAGGTCCTTCTTCCCTGCTTGGTCATCCAGGGAAAAATGAGGTGACCATGGCAACAAGGCAGGGCACTTGGGGCTGAGAGGATCTTTCACTAAATCCAGCCCTAATAATAGTCAATATTTTAAAATTTTTGAATAGATAATACATCCATATGGTTCAAAAATCTAAACTTATATAAAAAGTAATACATTAAAAAGCCTAGTCCCACCCCCTGCGGCTACGTACCTTGTTCCTGTTGACTCCATTTCCTGACAGATAACCACTTTGGTTCGTTTCATGTGTATCCTTCCAGTATTTCTTTAGTGTAATTAACATCAATTGAGCACTTTCTTCCAAGGGATGTTCTAATATATGTAATGTTCTTTTCCATGAGTTATCTCATTTAACCCTCACAACAACCCTATGGGGTGAGTAGTTGTTATACCCCATTTTACAGAGGAGGCAACTGAAGCCCAGAGGGGTGAAGCAACTTGCCCAAGATCACTCAGTAAGTTAAGGAGTCTGTCTTCAAAGCGAAAAGCGAGCGTTCTTAATTACTAGTCATCTGCCTCCCGGTTAAACGCAGTGGCAGACACCAGATAGCGTGGGCTTTCCAAAGCGTTCGGGGCCGAGAGTTTGGGCACCTGCGTCTTACTGGAGGCACTCACTGACTTTGGTCGGTGGCTTCCCGTCTCTGTGTGATGGACAAATCATACTCGCCCCTTTCAAAACCCCGGCATAGCGGACCCCAGCACTAATGCCTGCCCCCACCCTCTCTGCTCTCTCCCCAGGACCGCCGGGAGAGCCTGCCCACCTCCCCGCCCTGGACGCCGGGCGCGTCCCGGCCCCCCAGCAGCCTAGACGGCTGGGTGAGCCCGGGGCCGTGGGAGCCGGGCCGCGGGAGCAGCATGAGCAGCCCGCCGCCGCTGCCGCCGCCGCCGCCCATGTCCCCATCGTGGAGCGAGCGCTCCGTGTCCCCGCTGCGACCCGAGAGCGAGGCGCGACCCCCCAGCCGCCAGCTGCAGGCGCTCCTGGCGCGAAACATCATCAACGCGGCCCGGCGCAAGAGCGCCTCCCCGCGGCCGGCGGGCGCCGAGAGCCTGCGGCCCTTCTCCCCGCCGACGGCGCCGCCGCCGCCGCCGCCGCCGCCGCCGCGCATGCGCTCGCCGCAGCCCGCCCGCCCGGGCCCGGCCTCCGCGCCGGGGGCAGCTTTCGCTCCCATCCCGCGGAGCCCGCTGCCCGCCGGGCCTTCGTCCTGCTCCAGTCCCCGGAGCCCGCTGCCCGTGCCGCCCAGGCCCTTCCTCTACCGCCGCTCGCCCACGGACTCCGACGTATCCCTCGACTCCGAGGACTCCGGTGCTAAGTCGCCCGGAATCCTCGGCTATAACATCTGCCCCCGCGGGTGGAACGGCAGCCTGCGGCTCAAGCGTGGCAGCCTCCCCGCTGAGACATCCTGCACCACCTAAAGCCCCGCTGCCCATCCCCAACCCCTGGAAGGCTGAGCCCGAGGAAGAGTCACCAGGCTTGGGGAACCCAAGGGGTTTGGCCTCTTTGGACAGCCCCAGAGATAAGGGATCAGGGGAGGAGAGCACTGGGTTTGGGGATGGGTGAGGGACGCAAGCTTGGGTAACAGCCCTTGCTCTACCATTCAGTTGATGTGTGACCTGGGGCAAGACCCTTCCTCCATCTGACCCTCAGCTTTCCCGTCTGTTTAATGTGGCTTCTGCCAAGGCAATCTCCAAACGTCTAAATTCCACCCTCCTCCCCGGTCAACACATACACACACACACACACACACACACACACACACACACACACGTGCCTTGGAAGAGGTAGGGTGCTGTGTACATGGGCCCTTAGACTTGCCACATCGAGGGTTCCATACTCCTCCCTCCCTCCCCTCCTGGCTCTGCAAGTGAGGTGTGTTCAGAAGATCCTAGGCCTATGTCCCATGGCCAGGCCCTGGCTTGACCATCCGGCTCCCTGGCACCAAGTCCCAGGCAAGAGCAGCTGTTTTCCATCCCTTCCCAGACAAGTGCTATTTTTCCCACGGTGACCTTTAGTGAGGTCTCCCAGGCCAGCTCAAGGTGCCCTGCTGGCCCTCTGAAGAGAAGAGGCAGGAAGATGTTCCCCTGGCCTTTTCATGCTATTTTCTCCACCCCAGCTCAGGTTAACCATGGCATCTTATCTGCAGCCAGGGAAGACAGCTATAAGGCAATGATTTCCCCCAGGTCCAGGACTTGGGCCTCCAGCCCATCTGTCCCTTTTGGGCCCATTCATGGCAGGTTCTGGGCTCAAACCTGAGCTGGGGAGAGAAGAAGAGAGATGCAGCCTGTGCCTCTGATTGTCCTCACTTTGGGGCTGCCTATTTGAAAGAGGGAAGCAAAGAGTTCGTTGTTATGGGAAGTATGCAAGCTGTGGCCAGGATGCCTAGAGGAGGTTCTAGCAGGGGACAGGATTGGCTCAGAGGACCTCTGAGTCCTGAATTGCATTCCATGGTGTTAGGAAGTGGGGGAAGGTGGTGGAGGAGGGTTGACTGGGCATGAATTCTGGGGCAGATGGGCTTGGGTGGTTGAGTGAGGGATGATGCCAGGATCTGCCTGTGTTTCTGGCCTCCTAGGAAGTGCCTGCTCTTCAGTTTCAGATCCCAGCCCCAGTGTCCATATCATGCCCAGAAGAGTGCACACTGTCCCAGCCCATTTCTTTCCCACTGCACTCTGGCCTAGCTAGTGTCTGCTGCCCAGCGACCTTGGGGAACCTGGCTGTAAGCCCTAGCCTGTCCCTTAAACTTTGGTGGCTCTGATTCCGTTCCCCAGGAGGGACACAGGGAGGAATGTGGCTGAGTTCTGTAGTTTCCAAAGGTGCCTGGTAGTGCCTTCTAGAGGTTCAGAATATCAGCTTCAGGATACTCTAGGGAGATGGAATTGGTCGAGGATCAAAGGTATGTAGGTGAAAGGATACCAGGATGTTGCTAAAGGTGAGGGACAGAGTGTGACTTGGGGACTTAGCCAACCATCAGGGTGATGTTCGATCTGGAACCCCCAAGTGAGGCTGGGGAAAGTTAGGGTCAGGATGAAAGATAGGGTTGGGTGGGGTGCTTTGGAATAATGGCGTGATCCCAGAAGGTTCCTAGGGTCGAAGGAATGGGGACATGGGTCCTGTTGGTGGTAAGATGAGAGGGTGCTCCTGCTCAGTTAGTGATGAGTGACCACATTTACCGAAGCCACCACCTACTGCAGGGTCCCTTATAGCACAGGAGACTGGGGCTAAGGGCCCCCAGCAGAGAAGAGACCCGATGAGACCTCTGCTGCAGTGGCGTAGAGGATCCACTTCTACCTGCATTTCCCCAAGGGCCAGCAGGAGGCAGCCTTGCAAAGCTGCAGCTCCTACACCAGTCTCGGCTGTTCTCTTATCGTCACTGCCCTCTCCCCCCTCCTCTCCTTTGACCCACTAGCGCTTGCCTGTGTCCTGCGTCTTGCCTCCTGTAGAATTCAGCTCTGGTCCTCAATAAATGCTTCCTGCACTCTTCTGCCTCCCGTGTCATTTATGACTGTGTCTGACACCTTTCCCTTCTACCCAAGCAGGCCGTGGGACTCTGGGTGGATCGGAATATTTGAGGCATGTGGATGGGAGCTTGGGAAGGAGCAGCCATGAGGAGAGATGGGGAACAATGGAAAAACTTGCAGCCATAAAGGAAGTCCTGAGTTGAAATCTTGGTCCTGTCATTGACTAGCTACGTGACCCCGGGTGAGCCCGCTCCTTCTCCAGGCCTCAGCTTCTTCATCTGTAGAATGGGGACGGTTGGGTGCTAGGCAATGTCTCAGGATGGTATTGTCCAGGCTCTGACCCCAGGGCACTGTCCCCAGTGTGGGCAAGACCAGGTCGGATCAGGGCCCGATGCTCTGGGGCTGCTCCTTCATGGAGTGTTGGGGCTCCAGAGCAGGAAGAGGAGCCGCCATGAGAGGTCACTTCTGAGTCTGGACAATCCCAGCGGGGTCAGGATGCTGACTGTCAGGAGTCCTCCTCTCTTGACAGGGGCATCCTTTGCCCAGAGAAGGGACTGTGGGCCAGCTGCCAGGTGAGGCTGAGCCTGCCCTGGGAACATACCTCCCTCTTCCTCTGTAGCAGCTCAGGCCCACCCGAGGGGCAGCAAGCTAAGCTCAGGGCAGTCCTCGGCAGAGTCCAGGCTTCTGTCCTGAGAGAGTGTCAGAAATACACCCTGGGCTGGTCTGTACCGACACACAGATACCGGTGTTCCCCGCCCTGCTCCCAGGGCGTCCCTGCTAGGTCCATCCGTCCTGGGAGTGCTTTGTGTGTCCCTGATTGAATCTTCATCTTCAGCTGGAACCTCTCCTGAGCACAGTGTCCTACTGCCTCCTGGTGATCTCATCCCAGTCCCTGGACACCTCAAACCAAGTTCATCCAAAACTGAACTCAGCGTCTGCCCCCACCCCTGCTTGCTCCTCCCTGCTACCTGCCTTAGTCTCCCAAGCCAGAACCAGGGGCACGGGGCTCCTCCCTTTCCTCCCCTCCCACACCAGTCCCTCTCCAGGCCCTGCGGGCTCTCCAAATACCCCTCCACTCCCTGTCGCCACCATCACCCCCTTGTCACTGCCCCGGCCCGAAACCCTACCTCTCACCTGGTCACAGCGAAATCCTCCTGCCTCCAATCTGGCCCCCTCCAACCCATTTTCCACATGGCAGCAGAGACCTCTTGGGAAAATGCCAGTCTGACCACTCCATTTCACCGCTTTAATCTCTTCAACAGCCCGTTATAGACACAGTTTCCTTTTGAAAAGCCTGCTGGGATCTGGCCCCTGCCCACCTGTCTGGGCTCATCTCTCAGCACTGCCGCCCCACCAGCTCTGGCTCCACTTGCTACCCCCTACCATCCCTACACGTGCCATGTCCCCTGCCTGCCATTCCCGTGTCCCTTCTCTGCCCAGGGAACTCTCACTCATCCTTCAAGGCCCAACACGAATGTCTCCTCCTCTGGGAAGCCCTCCAGACCGGCAGGCTGACCTGCCAGCTCCCTCCCCTGCACGTTCCCAGAGCATTTCCCAAAGCTTGTTTACTGGGCTGAATCTGACCTGGCTGAGCTCCTTGAGGACAGAGCCTCAGCCTTATTTATTTTCAGTCCTTAGGGAGTGGCTCAGGGAATATGAGAAGGTAGAGGGAGGGAGGGAGAAAAGGAGGAAGGAGGGAAGGAAGCAGAAGGAAGAAAAACAGGCAGGAAAGAAGAAAGGAAGGAAGAAAAAGATAAGTCAAGCAAAGATACTGGGGGACAACTCATCCATCCATCCATCCATCCATCCATCCATTGAATGATTATCTACTGAGTTCCTATCAGGCACCGTGTTAGGCACTAAGGATAAAACAGTTAACAAGCTGAAGCTACCTGCGGCTGACCCTCAGCATTTCCAGGTGACTTTGGTGTGTGCATGTGTGAGTGCGTGTGTACACTTGCAAGCCTTTCTGTCTGCAAGGGCCGGCTGCCGGGGCACCTGTCTTCCCTGGGGCCTGGTGCTTTTAGCGTCTCGCCCCAGCTCCTATTGCAGCCTGAAATTAGGCTGTGACCCACGACAGGGCAGGAATGATTCTTGTCAGCTGAAGTCAGAGCTGGCTGCAGGGCACACCCTGCTTGCTGACCGCCGACTGCTGACCGCCGACAGGGGCACCACGCAGCTCGCAGCTTCCCGACAGGGGTGTTAATCCTGAGGGTCTGACATTCCCTCCTGCCCACTGTGGTCCCATCCTCTCAGGTACCAGGATCGTAGGGGAGCGCGGGGAACCGTGGGGAGTGGGCAGAGGGGATGAGCCGATTCCCAGAGCACCTTTCCTCAGCAGAGGAAGGGCCCTGCAGAGGGTCTGGGGAGTCAGGGGCCTCCTGGAAGCCTGGGTCTCAGATTGGGGGGAGAGGAACTCTAAGCTCTAGGTTACCCCACGTTAAATGGGGAGGGGGTGGCTAGGATTGGTGGTGCGGGTGAGGTAATGTCTCTGCTCAGGACCTCGGGATCTTTTAGGCAGTAGAAAGAAGCAACTTCCTTGTCCCTTCCCTTCCCAGCATCGCGAATTTCTGTAAGGGGAGTGTTTATCAAGAAACAGATCTGTGGACCGTGGAATCCTAAAGGGTCAAAGAGCATTCCCAATCATCTCGCGACCCTCACCCCAAGTGCGTGCAGACACACTCGTGTTTGCATACAGTTTTAGGGGGGCTGTAGATGCCTCGAAGCCCTTCCATGGATCCCCTTGATTTAGTCCGACCCCCTTATATTATAGAGGGGGAAACTGAGGCACAGAGCTGGAGAGCTACATGTTCACAGTTACAGACGAGGTCGGGGACACGCATTGGACTCCGTGTTGCCCAGCTCAGTGCCCACCGACCCAGGGCCCCTTGTGGGTGTGGCGGGGGACAGATGGAGGCAGATCATTTTCTAAAGGAAGGAGCATGGGAAACCCGCAGCAAAGGGGAAGGGCTCCGGGTGGGTAGTCGGCCAGGCCTCAAGGCCTGTTCTCCTGGGGACAAGTTAGGGAACCTGGATTTGGGGCCTGCAGGGGTTCTCTGGGGCTCTGGACCGCATTTTATTTGTAACTCTCTTCCAAGATTCCTGGAAAGTGCTATGAGATACAAACGGAGGAATGGAGGAGGAGGGAGAGAAGGGGTGAGGGAGAAGAGAGCACCATGGATGGCAGCCCAGGGATGGGGAGACAGGGAGGACGGGTGGTGGTTCTCTCCACTTTGCTGAGCCAGCCTGCGCCCTCAAGCCTCAGGGCCAAGCACCAGGGACGGGAAGGGAGCCCCCACCTCTCAGACCCCAGGGTAGCCACAGACCAACCCAAGCTCCCTCGCCCCAACCTCTCTCAGCCTCTGATTAGTGCTCTCCTGGGTCAGCAGATGACAGTGGAGGCTGAGACCCCCGCCTTCCCTGCCCCAGATGTCCCAGGCACCTGCTCACCTCTGATCAGGATGCCAGGTCTGGGGAAAGCCCTGGAAACCAGCCCAGAAGACAGTGTGCTTTCCTAGCCACGCAGAAATCGATTTGTGCGACCTTGAGCGCCTTCCTCTCACTCCCCAGGCCCCAGCCTCCTGTGTACGGAGACCCCAGAGGCCCATCCGGTTCAGATATCCCTTGCTCGTGACGTTGGGGTGGGCCAAGGCTGTTCAGGGCTGGGGCAGCGGACCAGGGATGTGGAGGAGGTGTGGGGAGGCAGAGGCGGCCTGGCGCATCAGTGGGAATCTCTCCTCCACAGGATGATCCCCAAGGAGCAGAAGGGGCCAGTGATGGCTGCCATGGGGGACCTTGCTGGACCAGGTAAGGTGGCCCCAGCCCGATGCTTTCCTCAGACGCCATCCTTTCTCGGTCCTGGACCGGCGTCCACTCTGGCCTGCTGGCCCAGGCCTGGGCAGACAGATGTGAGTTCCAGGTCAGCGTGAGGGAGAGCCTGGGGAATCTGCCGCCTGGGCTCGGAAGCTTCCCAAGGCATTGGAAGGGGCCTTGTCCTTGTGTCCACAGACCCGGAGCTGAGGTTGAGTGCCCCAGCCTGGGCCCTGTGCCTGTCCCTGTCCTCAGCCAAGGCTTTACCTCAGCCCCAAACTGAGCTCTGAGGGCCCCGGTTCCAGGTTCCGCCCTACCTGTGGCCCAAGCTCCCCACACACTAGTCCTCGCTTATTGGGACTCTGAGCCTCCCCAAGGCCTAGGGACAGCCCAGGTGGCCCAGCCCCAGGGAGGCGGTCGGGGTGGAAGAGCAGGCTGCCCAACTGGACTCAAACCATTTTACTTAAAAGCCAACTCATCTAATGAACAAATCCTCTAAAATTCCTGGTTATCAACTTTATAAAATCTCTGAGTATAATTTTAGTGTCTGTTCATGTGGTCTACTTTAGAGCATTTCAAATCTTTAAATATTTAATTCAATTAAGTCAGGGCTCTCAAACTTTCGTGTGAGTCATGGTGACTCGGTGTTGATTAAAAATGCAGATTCCGGGCGTCTACCTCAGGGATCCTGACTCAGTGCACCTGGGGTAGGGCCTGTCCCTTGGCCTTTTAGACAAGGACCGAGGTGACTCGCGTGCGGGTGGACGGTGAGCACCTCGGGTAAACACCGGGCCGCGAGCCCTTCCGAAGCGCGACTCCTTTAGAGTCCTAAGGAGTTGATCACGTTGTATAACTTTGTATGTGAGTCATCCTTGTAACCCATTTTGTGTGTTCTTGCCTCTTCTTGGTGTTGTCAAGTGTCTTTTTTCCCCCGTGATTTTGTGTGCCTAAATAAGCAAATTTTGTGAGTATCGCTGTTCCAACTGGAAGAGTCAGGTGATACGTTCTCTTTTCTCTAGTCTAAGTAATTAATTAATTACAGACCCCCAAATACTGATGCATATCATTTATGCCAGACTTGAAGTATCTAACTTGTTGATTACTCCTAAGGTATCGATTAAAGACAATTTTGAAATGAAACAAAAGCAGGAAGAAAAACCAAATCTCACAGTATTACCACCTAGAAACAGCCATCGCACAGTAATAATAATAAAAATGTTTACCATTATTGCATGTTTACTAGGCGTCAGACACTATAAGAGCTTTCACGCCCTGTATCGGTTAACCCTCACAACAGCCCTGTAAGTTAGATGTTACTACCTCCATGTGGAAATGAGAAGACTGTAGCTCAGAGGGGTGGGGTGGGGGGGTCACATCTGGCAGGTAGCAGAGCTGCGATGTGACTCCAGGTCTCTTTGCCTCCAGAACTGTTTCTTTACTATATTGGTTATACAATAATGTAATACAGCATTCATACATAAGTTTTTTAAAATATTCCTTTGCCATTGACTTGGTGTAAATAAAAAAAAAATAAAAGTCAGGCAAAACAGACACGAATGACTTTGAAAGTGGAAGTTCCTCCTGATGGAACCATCTGGAGAGAACCACTGTTAACATATTTGTGTAAATCCCTCTTCTGTTCTCATATATATATATTTATATAAAGGCATGTACATGTGGGCTAAATACTATCTGCTGTGCTCTTCAGCTTGGTTTTTTTTTTCATTTAGCAGCATACCATCCTAATACGACTGATCTCACAGCCTCCCTCCCTGCTGCTCCCCGCATGTCATGTGTATTTAATGACCCCAAATGGTGGCCATGAGGCTTGTGTTAGGTGGGATGCTTAGGGCTGGGGCGCAGTGAGTCTTGTACCAGTGACTTACGAAGGGTGTGCTCTCAGGAGGAGGGAGGTAGGGAACGCAGCTTAGGGCTGGGGAATCACTGAGCAAGGATGGGGGCTCAGAGCAGTCCAGGTTCAGTCTGACCTTGTGGGGGGCTCTCGAGCACAAATTGCTCCATGAAATTCAACCCACCTGCGGCAACTTCCCTTCTACCAGCTGTTCTCTGCAGAAGGTGGCCGTGGAAACCATTCGCCGCTAATAAAGGGCCTCTGGGCAGCATCCACCACAAGACTGATTTCCAGTTTTCACTATTTTAAACCCCACTGCAATGCACATCCTTGTACATATATCTTTGGACATATTTATTCAACTTGTCCCCCAAGAATAAATTCCTAAAAATAGAATTACTTAGTCAAATAGGTTTTATCTGTTGGTTTTTTTTTTAATTTCACTCAATTTATCTGCATAGTATCTGAGAATATGATGCTGGGCCCTTTATTATGTATTTAGGTATAAACATTCTTTCATATTTTTAAGTAGGCAGTACACTTTCTCGTTAAAAACACTGACAACAAAACAGTGTAAACAATTTCCAGCCCCCCTCCTTCCTATGTCCCATAAATAGTCACTGCTAATATTTGGCAGGTCTCCTCGGAGAGTTTTCGATGCATGCACAAACGTACACCAATTTTTTAATATATAAATGGGATCTTAAAATACATATTCTTCTGAAACTTACTTTTCTCCCCAGTTAACCTAGAGTGGATTTCTTTGTGATATTGGCATGTGCCTCTTTACATATTTGTTGAAAAAATGAAAAAACCCAACCCCCTTTCTTGAACGGCTGTTCAGGATTCCGTGAATGGAGTGACTCACAGCACCTGAGCGACCCTCAGTGCTGCCTGGTAGCCACATCCATCTCCCTAGTCCGTTCGCCCTCCCGTGCTACTCTCCTAGATGACTTTGGCCAGCCCCTCCTCTCTCCTCAAACCTGCAATGCTCCTCGCACGTCCTCATTCTCAGCTAATGACCTTGCTTCTTGTTTCCCTGAGAAAAATGAAGTAACTAGGAGAGAACTTCTGCAAGACCCTCCGCACGTCTGTCTGCTTCCTTGCATCTGTGCCTGTGTTTGCGGTTTTCCTTCTTGACACGGTGGATGAACGCTCCTCACATCTGTCTGGTGCCAGCCCCTTCTGGCTGGGCACAGTCCACCCTGCCCTCCTCTCACTCATGCTCAAGGACACTGCTTCAGCAATTCTCCTTGTCAAATATTCCCAGCAGCGAACACACATGCTGTTGTTTCTCCCTCTTTCCAAACAGACCTCTCTTAAGTCCATAGCTGCCTCCAGCTACAGTCCTTTAAAGCGGGGGTCCCCAGCCTATAGTGAGTTGTATAATTATATCATTATATATTACAATGTAATATAATAATAGAAATAAAGTGCACAGCACATGTAATGCGTTTGAATCATCCCAAAACCATCCCCCCTCCCTGCTCCCAAATGGAAAAATTCTCTTCCATGAAACCGGTACCTGGTGCCAAAAAGGTTGGGGACCACCGCTTTAAAGCATAACTCCTGCAAGCAGTTGTCTATATTTTTCTTCCCACCTTCTCTTTCTCTCTTTTTAACATTTTCTTATGTCAATTTCCAAACATACACCAAGTAGAAAGTACAAATCCCCACGGTCCCTCTTTTATTCCTAAATTCCAAGGCTAATACCAAAGAGCATGTCATTTCATCCCCCAAAATCTTCAGAATGCATCAAAAATAATAAAAAGGACATTTCCTTACACGCCACAAAAATATTAGCACAGTGAACAAAATTAGCAGTAATGATTTAATATCATTTAATAAGCAGTCCCGTATTCAGCTTTCTCCAATTTTCTAGTTCGTTTTAATCCGGATCCAAACAAGGGCCACAGTTTTTATTTGGTTGCTATGGCTCTTAAATCTCCTTGAATCTAAAACAACCCCTCCTCCCCCTGTTTTCCATGTCATTCACTTGTTTGCAAAACCAGGCCAGTTGTCGTTAGAATGTCTTGCATCCTGGATTAAGCTCATTGCTTCCTCGCCGTGTGGCTGAACTTGTTCCTCTGTCCATTTTCTGTTGAACCCTCTCCAATCAGGCTTTCACACCCCAGGGCTCCCTGGAAACCGCTTACTGAAGTTACCAGTGACCCATGTTACTAAATAGAATAGGCGATTTTCAGCGCTCATCTTACCGGATATATGAGCAGCGTTTGACTCCCTTGGTCTCTCCATCATCCCTGAAATGCTTTCATCATTCGTTCCCAGGACACTGTCCTCTTCAGTGTCCTCCTACCTCACTGGCTGTTCCTTCCCAGGCTCCCCGCCTGGATCATCTAAATGTCGGAGGCTGCAGGGCTCAGGCTGTGGCTGTCTTCACCTATTCTCATTTCCTCACGTCTCATCCAGCCTCCCAGCTTGAATACTATTACGCAGCTGGAACAGGAAGCTAGGTGTATCTGATTTTAGCAATGGACAATGCAGGCTTTGCTGCCCACACAGAACTCTCTCCTGCCAAGGTCCTCACCATTCTGTCCCTCCTGTCCTCCAAAAGGCTTTGCTTATTGGTCAAATGTAAAAACGTGCATTTTCCTGGAGGAGAAGCACAAAGGATAGGGATGGGTTCCAAGCTACTATGGACAGTCACCAACTCTGAAGATCCTCTAAATGGCTGTAAGGACTAGTCCTAACGATGAGATAAGAATTCAATGTAATGTTCTTCATTGAAAAGCAACAACAACAGCAAATTCCATTTATAAGCTCATGATGCCCAAATTTTTATCCCCAGATCAGTTTTCTCTCATGACCGCCAGATGCGCACACCCAGCTCCCGTCAGCATCTCCAGCTGGATGTGTCTGAGGCTTCTCGAACTTAACATGCCCAGTGTGGGAGACAATGAGGAGAGTTCGAATAAGGACTGGAGATTAGATAAACAAAAATTTGTTCACTTGGACAGGTGAAGATCTTTAAGTAATATTAATAAAAGCAAGCTACAAAGCACGTATGCTATGATTTCCTTTTGGTTAAAAATTCATATATGAATACATAGTCGTTGAAAAAGATAGGAAAGGACGTACACTAAGGAGTTAATAGTGGCGATCTCTGGGTGATAAATAATTGTTTTTCTCTCTTTTCTTTCCATCTGTATTTTCTGACTTTTCTCAGTGCACGTACATGCTGTTTTTATAATAATAAACACTATTTTACAGCTAAGAGAACACATCTAAAACTGAACTTCCAATCTTTCCCCAAACTGTCTCCTCCCTCAGCCTTCATCTCAGTGAGTGGCTGCGCCGTCCTTCCAGCGGCTCAGGCCAGGGGCCTTGCAGTCGCCCTCTGCTCCTCTCTCTCTCGTACCCCATTCTCATGACTTGGCTTTAAAAATATCTAGAATCTGATCATTTCTCACTACCTCTACCACTAAGGGCAAAGAGCTGCATGGGGAATTCACGGAATAAATGCAAATTGACAAAGAACTTCTGAGTATCAAACACACGCAGATTCAACTCTGAGGTGTCATTTTTGCTCATCAGATGGGCAAAGATTCCAAAAAATGGTGACACCCAGCATCGGCGGGTGCGGGGAGAAAGTGCATAAGGCATTCTTACGCACAACGTGGGACGCTGTGACAGGTGCCTCGGGGTTTGGGTGGTGAGCGCCCGCTCTGGCCCCTCCCGGCAGTGCCTTCGCTGGACCTGGGCAAGAAGCTGAGCGTGCCCCAGGACCTGATGATAGAGGAGCTGTCACTGCACAACAACCGAGGGTCCCTCCTCTTCCAGAAGAGGCAGCGCCGTGTGCAGAAGTTCACCTTCGAGTTGGCAGAAAGCCAGCGGGCGGTGAGTAAGCCTCCATTGTGCTCTTGGGGAAACTGAGGCCCAGCGAGAGCCATTGGTTAGCCTAAAGCCGAACAGCGAGCCAGGCTGAGGACTGTGACGTCCCCGACAGATTGAGCCCCTGCTCTGCTGTGTGAAGGGACTCTGGTGCCTACAGAACAAGCTGAAGACTAGTCATGTACTCTGGGCTAAATATGCAGCACGCAGGATCTAGTTCAGACTTGAGCTTTTTCTAAAACAGAAAATGCAGAATGCCTTTCTTTTTTCTTCCCACTGGAAGAAGGAAAAGCCGTGGAACAATCTGCTGGTAGAGAAAGCAGCAAGAATGGTTTTCCCCAGGCTTCAGAAAGGCAGCGGGCAGCTTTAGGTACCTCCAATGAAGTCTGGAGTATTCCGTTCATACCCCACTTAATTTCTGGGCTAGACAGGAGGCAACTGAGAGAGTGACGTGGCAGAATAAAGATGGCAAAACACCCACCTTTGCTATGTGCCTAAGACACTGCTAGCTAAGCACTTTACGCCTATCCTCTCATTTAACGCTCATGGAACCCTAACGAGGTAGATATCATCATCATCATCATATAGAGAAAGAAACTGAGGCTCAGGGAAGTTAAGTATCTTGCCCAGACTCAGTATTATTATACAGAAGCGATTAACATATATAGAGTATTTCTCTGTCCCACACATTGGGCGTAACGCTGGAAACTATTAACTCATCCTTCCATCATCCCTTGGAGGTGGGCGCTAGGATTTTGTCTTTCTCCCTTTTTGGTGGAGGGAGAGCCCCGACCCCTACCCCCTGATCCTCCCTGCGGTGTATCTGTCCCCTCCCCGCAGATGCTGGCTGGAAGCGCCAGGGGCAAGGTGACCCGGGCAGCGGCGCCGGAGCCTGGGACGGTGAGCGTGGAGGCAGACCCCACCCGAGGGCAAGCGCGGGAGAAGGGGCGGGCGGCTCAAGGGCGGCCACCCGCGGCCTCTGAGCGCCCGCCCCTGTGCCCAGGTTGCCAATGGCCCCGAGGGGCAGAGCTACAGCTCGGAGCTCCACATCTTGCCCGCCTCGTCCGGAGGTCCCGAGGACGCCCGCTTTGCAGCTGCCCCGGCGGAGCGCGCCCGCAGCCCCAGCGCGCTGGCGCCAGGTGAGTGGCCTCCCGGGTCTGGGGACCAGGGCTGGGGAGCAGGGAGCGCGGGTGCGCTCGAAGGCGGGGCGGGAAGAGCTCTCCGAGAGCGGCTAGTCCACCACCCCTTTCCCCAACACACACACACACACACACACACACACACAGACACACACACACACACACACACACACACACACACACACCACACACCGCTTCACAGACCAACACACCAGCCCAGAGAAGCGCAGCGACGCGCCCAAGGTCACGCAGCAAGTCAGATTTCCAGCCGAGACTAGAACCTGCGCCCTGAACTCGCGGTTCCCTTGCTCCAGTCCTTGTTTCCTGCGATGGGGAAGGGTCCCCTTTGCTGGAGCGACTTTGGCATCCTCTCCCCCCACTCCTCTTTCCTAACTCCGCTGCTCCCTCCCCCAACCACGTCCGCTGGGTAGGGGGAGGGGTAGGGGGAGTGGTAGGGGTAGGACAGGGGCCGGGGTGGGAGAGGGGACTGAGGGAGGCACGGTGGAGGCAACCCCGGTCCGCCAGTCCCCAACGCCCGCTGTCCCCAGGCTACGCTGAGCCACTGAAAGGCGTCCCTCCGGAGAAGTTCAACCACACCGCCATCCCCAAGGGCTACCGCTGCCCGTGGCAGGAGTTCATCAGCTACCGGCACTACCAGAGCAACGGCCCAAGTCACACCCCCAGCTCCGCGGACTACCGGAATTTCAACAAGTAAGGCCGGGCTGGCAGCTGGGAGAGAGGCGGGCAGGGCGCAGGCCCCGTCACAGCCACAGCAGTAGCCCGCATTCCTGAGCACTGTGTAGGTGCCAGGCTCCATCCTGAGCGCTTCCTATGCATTTATTGAGCTCTTGCTGGAACAGTGCCTCAGCTCCTAGTAGGTGCTCAATAAATGTAGGAGGAATGAACAGTGAATGTGCCACGCATCTTGCTGGGTCATCTCCGCAATAGCGTGGGGCAAGGCGTTACAGTTTTTCCTCTTCTGCAGATGAAGAGACCGAGTCTCAGGACTATGAACAGCTGCCCAAAGCCACAGGACAAGGAAGCAGCAGGAGGGCTGGACTCGAGTCTGGCTTTGTCCGATTCCAGAGCCCAATGTCCTGTTCTCCGTAACTGCTCTGTGGCATCTCTTTGATGGACATCTAGGTTTGCGTCCTTCTTTGAGGGGTCCCCAAATCTTACCAGTTCTAAGTCAACTCGGCCTTTCCTTACTTTCATCATTGGTCTAGAAGGTGGCTTTGAGGCTGCCCCAAAGCAAGGAGTGGCAGTGAGACACTGGACGCCAGAAGTGAGGGCCACAGAGAAGAGGCTTAGGCTGGTTTAGCACATGGGGCCTCAACCTGGGCTTAAATGCAGACTCCAGGCCTAGCTGTGTGACCTTGGGCAAGTGACTTAACCTCTCTGAGCCTTCATTGCTTCACCTGTAAAATGAGGCTTTTAATATTATAACTACTTTATCAGATTACCATAGGGATGACATGACAAGCCATAGGCCATTTCTGGGAAGTATAAACTGCCAATAAACAGTAGCTATTGTTATTATTTACAGGCTGAAATGATGATTAGAAAAGCTAACAGAGGAGAACGTGAAAGGGATAAATTTAACATTCTGCACTGGGGGCCCCCAAACAAGCCCTGGGAGTGAAGACGGGAGCTTGGCACCGGGGGACGGCCTTGGGCGGGGGATATGTTGCAGCTGCAGTTGGCTTCCTCAGTCCGATGCTATTTCTGAACGTGCTCCTCTGGCTGGGCTGCTGGAAGTGAGGAAAAGGGGAGTCCGCAGAGAGGAGGCCACGGTCCAGCTCTTCTGGCACCTGCTCAGACCACACGTGGAGACCGTGTCTGTCTGACAGACGGGTGGGCGCCAGGGCCCGGCGAGGCCTGGAGACCAGGCCTTCTGGGGAAGGGCCGAAGGAACTGGGGACGATTGGCCTTGAGGAGAGGTGGCCCAAGAGAGACAACTGCCCTCGCACAGCTCAACACCAGGGAGGGCCCAGCAGGCACTGCGTGAGCCACGAGCCGCTGGCAGGCATCCTGGAGGCCCGGCCAGGCAGGGCTGCCCCGTCTCCTCCCGGGCCCTCAGACCCTGCCCGCCCGGCTGTGTTAAACGCTCGGCATTCGGTCCTGGCAGGCAGCTCCAGGCTGGCTGAGTCAGGTTGTATCTCCCGCCCTCGTGCCTCAGATGTGACAGACTGTGGCACATGCCCACGAGCGGCAGGAGGGCCTTAGGGAGCCCTGGGCTCTTCTGGGGCGGAAAGAGCAACTGAGGCATAGAGAAGAGAAACAGCAGTTTTGGTAGCCAAGCTGGGCTCGGAATCCAGGGCTCTGGGATCCCAGTCAAGGGCCTGACTGTGAGGCCTGCCTGGCTTGGACGCTGCCCAGCCTGTTCCCGCGAGGCCTGGCTGTCGCCGCCGCAGCTGGGGTGGTCCAGGCAGAAATGGTTTCCTGGCCGGAGCCCAGGCCCTGGCGCCAGGTTTGTCTTTCCACCCCAGAGGCAAGTACTCTCTTCTTCCCACCGGCCCCAGGCTGCGGGGAAAACCCGACGCAAGCAATGCTTTTATTTTTCTTACAATTAAGGAATAGTATTAAAATCACACACATAGATTTTTTTTTAAAAATAAATTAGGCAAATACAAATGAAGGTAGGGCCCTTCTGTTTCCCAGCCTTCAATCCTGATTGCCTTCCAAAGGTAACACTGTTGTCAAGTTGGCCTGTATGTTTCTAGAACATTTTGTACTGGCAGCTGTGTACCTATAGGCTGTGGTCCCCCATCCCGGGGCCACAGCCCAGTACCCGTCTGTGGCCTGTTGGGAAATGGCGGTGTATCACCACCTGAGCTCCACACCAGCCACCACTACCCACGACACCCCACCCCTCCACCCTCGGTCGGTAAAAAAATTGTCTTCCATGAAACTGGCCCCTGGCGCCAAAAAGGTTGGGATTGCTGCCTGTAGGTGATAGGGCATTGGCATGTGTGTGTGTGTGCGAGTGTGTGTCTGTGTATTTTGTTTTTGTTTTTGTTTTTTCTCGGAGACAGGATCTTACTCTGTCCCCGGGCTAGAGTGCAGTGGTGGCATTATAGCTCACTGCAACCTCAAACTCCTGGCTCCAGTGATCCTCCTGCCTCAGCCTCCCAAGTAGCTGGGACTACAGGTGTGCGCCACCACACCCAGCTCATTTTTCTATTTTTAGTAGAGACGGGGTCTCGCTTTTGCTCAGGCTAGTCTCAAACTCCTGACCTCAAGCGATCCTCCCACCTCAGCCTCCCAGAGTGCTAGGATTATAGGCATGAGCCACCATGCCTGGCCAATGTGTGTGTTTTAATACTTTGCATTTCATTCTGTAACTTGCTTTTTTCACTCCACATTATGCTTTGGAAATCTACTGTACTAATATATAGTTTAAGCTGCTGTGTAGTATTTTGTCATGTGAATATGCTATATCTGTCTTGCCCGTTCCTCTGCCAGTGGACTTATGGCCTGTTTCTGGCTTGTCACTAGTGCGCTGCTCACGTTTGCTTCCTTGTACACACATGCGTGTGCTTCCCTAAGCCATGTGCTGGGTGACAGAGTTCACACATCTCCGGGTTGAAACGTCCTGCCAAGTTGTCCTCGACGGTAGCAGCAGTAATTTACAGTTGACCCTCTAACCAGCAGCACAGGAATGAAACTTTGCCCCCACCACCTCACCAACTTTGCACCATTATCAAATTGTTTCACCTTGCCAGGCCCATGTGGGGATGTTTGTTGTTCTAAGGGGAGGTGAGGAGAGGAAGGAGAAACCCTATGTCCAAATCTGCTCCCTGCTGGAGCTTCTTCTTTAGGGGAGCCCAGAGTTTTGCCTAGGACGAGCCAATTCTAACTCTAAAAACGTCAACAGGCCATCGCCACTAGGGGCAGACTTGGGAATGGGCAGAGCTGGAGAAACCTGTTAAGGACGGTACAAAATCTTGCTGTAGAGAAGGGGAAACTGAGGCCCAGAGAGAGGCAGGGAGGGGCCCACACATGGTGACCTGCGTGTCAGTGTTCTGCCATCCCTCTCTCCTGCTGCTCTCTTTCCCCAGGACCCCGGTGCCGTTCGGAGGACCGTTCGTGGGGGACACCATTCCCCGGGCAGGCACCCCCTTCATCCCGGAGCTCTTCAGTGGCTTGGAACTCCTCCGCCTGAGACCCAGCTTCAACAGAGTGGCCCAGGGCTGGGTCCGTAACCTCCCAGAGTCTGAGGAGCTGTAGCCCCAGCCTGGATCTTCAGTTCTCCAGCCTCAGGGTTCTGGTAACATCTGGAGCCAACTTGTGGACACAGTTTATGAAGGGCCTTGGCTCTCAAACCCTGTTGCAAATGGCCTCAAAGGTCACAAAGTTGAGTAGTCCCCCAAAGTGTGTGTGCTTCGAAACTACTTGGGAACGTTGTTCCTAATTCCGAGTCTGACCTGCCCCAGACTTGCAGTCCCTATTGATGACAGTAGCCCAGGTGATTCCAGCGTAACTTGTCCGTGGTTTGTGTCTTTAGGAATCCCGCAGCTTACACTCCCCAGTGACAGGGCGCTCGCTGGCCGCCCATCTTTGTGTCATTCTGATGGTGAGAAAGATGCTCTATTATTAGACCTCTAAGATGCTATTCATGCTCTGAACATTTACTAAGCACTGATGGTGTGCTAGACACTGTGCCAGGCACAGGCCCCGAGGAGGAAAAGACAGTAGGGAAGGCAGATTTGTAAAGCAGTAAATCTTATTTTCCCGAAAGCTTGCTGATTGACAACTGAGGAGCAAAGTGCCGTGGGGCAGAGGAAGGGGTGGGGTTCCAGTGACTTCCCAGAGGATTTGAGCAAGACCTTGGAGGAGGAGTGAGTCCATTAGGAGAAGAGGGTGCGGTGGGGAGAGCATTCCTGGAGAGTGGACCAGTACTTGCCAAGGTGTGGAAGTGAGCACGGGCGTGGGGTGCTCTGGAGAAGGGAGAAGGCTGTGTTAGAGGGGTCGGTGAGGGCCAGAGTGAGTGGGCTTTACTAAGGAAATGGGGAAGGTTTTAGCGAGGGGTCTTGCTGGCTGCTGTGTGGGGCGCAGATTGGAGGAAAGTAATGCCAGGTCAGAACATCTGCAAGGGATGAGGCCCCGGGACTGGACAGAGGGGCCACCCGCTGGGCACTTGTGGGACAGGTGCAAAGTGGCGCACTTATTAAGACCTCTTTCCACTCTCCATTCTGGGCAGGCCCCTTAGTTCCAGTGATGATGATGGTGATGATGGTGATGATGGTGGTGGCGGTGGTAATAGCTGCTTTCTATTTAGTGCCTCAGCGCCTGGACTGGTAGTAGGTTCTCTACATATCTTATTTCTAATTCTCAGTGCAACCTTGAGAGAAAGCTGTTTTACAGATGTGGATATCCAGGCTCAAAAGGGAGAAGTGACTTGTCCAGGGGTAGGGTCAAAACGGGACTGTGTCTGACTCCGGTGGCTGTCTCTTCACTGCACTGGGTGGTCAGGCCGATGCCCACACACTCTGGAACCCCCTGATCACGGTGCCCTGCCTTGGGGTTCAGAAGTCAGGAGCGCAGGCTGGGGAGCCAGACTGGATGGGATGGGTCATGACTCTGCCGCTGCCACCACACGGGCTGGAGCGGGTCATTGCGCATCTCTGGGCCACCATTTCTCCATCTGTGAGATGAAGGCAAGTCTGGAGTCTCCTTTATGGGGTTGTTGGGGGCACACTGCAGGGTGCATTTATACAAAGGGCTCCATCGATGTTGGGTTTCATGCAGCTGCTGCTCCGGGCTGGAAAAGATGTTCTTGCCATGGGTGCAGCTCGAGAAGCAGGCTGCTGGGGTGTCGCTGGGGTCGGTACAGCTGAAGCCCGCAGGAAAGCCTCTGGCCGCTGTGGGGTCCCTGTGGGCGTGAATCACCTCCTGCCTCCCTGCCTCCCTCTGTCTCCTCCCTGGATTGCACTCAGGGAGACGAGGAAGTCCGGCCGGCCGGTTCCGGGGTGGGGGGGATAGCGGTTGCCTTTTCCTTTTGCTCTGGACTTTCACTTCCCTTCTGGGTCCCAAGAGACCAGCAGCCTGACTCTCAGAGTTGCTGCCATCCATGTGTTCTCCTGAATTTGCGGGCTGCCTTTAAAGCCCCCATGGGCTTTCCATGAGCTGGAGACCAACACTAAAGTGAAGGGTAGAAGGGAGGACTTGGCCTGCCTTGGGTTGTCTGCCGTGCCCTGGGAGGAAACTGCGGCTGCCAGGTGCGGAAGGGAGCCTGGAGGGGACGCCGCTGCACCCAAAGCGGATCCTTATTTCTTTCTTCTTCTTCTGATGTGACTTTTGCTGATGTTGTGAAAAAGAAAAAAAAATGCTGATTGTAAAAATAAAAAATAACAAACAAGAAATAGAATGTGAAAGTACCTGCCCATATAACCCCTCCCGCACACAGACACACACCTCCCTGCCCTCTTGCATTCTGCCCCAGTCCCACACTCCAGAGGGAACCACTGGTGACAGTCGCTCCTTCTAGAATGCTGGAATTATTTGGATAAATATGTACATGTGCATAGATGCACAGGTATACATGCAATTCTTTGTCTTAAAGGAATTATACAATGTGTATTGTTTTGTATCTTGCTGCTTTATTCAACAACAAATGTGCATCCTGAAAAAGCAAATCATTAACCTCTTGTGTGGTTTAGGGGCCTAACAAGTCCTTCCTATAAAACTCTATACTTTTGCCTGTTTTTGTTCTTTCTATAAATTAAATTATACAGTGATATGGAAATGAAAAGGACTGAGAATAGTCAAAATATTGAGAAACCTGACATCAAACATAGCAACGATGAACACGAATGAACTACAGTTTCATGCAACAGCGTGGATGCATCTCAGAAACATAATGGTAAGCCAAGGACGGCAGGAAAACACAAATATGTCTGCTGATGCGAGGAAAGACTTCATATAAAAGTCAGAGTCGTGGCCGGGCGCGGTGGCTCACGCCTGTAATCCTAGCACTCTGGGAGGCCGAGGCGGGCGGATTGTTTGAGCTCAAGAGTTCAAAACCAGCCTGAGCAAGAGCGAGACCCCGTCTCTACTAAAAATAGAAAGAAATTAATCGGACAACTAAAAATATATAGAAAAAATTAGCCGGGCATGGTGGCGCATGCCTGTAGTCCCAGCTACTCGGGAGGCTGAGGCAGTAGGATCGCTTGAGCCCAGGAGTTTGAGGTTGCTGTGAGCTAGGCTGACGCCACGGCACTCACTCTAGCCAGGGCAACAAAGTGAGACTCTGTCTCAAAAAAAAAAAAAAGTCAGAGTCGTGATAACTTTGGGAGGTGGGAAGGGTTTGTGAATGTGAAGGGCACATAAAATGCTTCTAGGGTAACTGGAAAAATTTGATTTCTAGGCCTGGGTAATTGTTACATAGATGGTCACTGCAAAATATTTAAGGTAGTTGTACGTCTGTGTCACGCACCGTTCTGCATATGTGTGATATTTTACGAAAATACAACTCCTTGTAAAAAAGTTAATGAACAGATTAATAGTAGATAAGACATACCTGAAGAGAGGATTACTGAACTAAAAGTTCCCATAATGTGTCACAGAAATGTAAAGAGATGGAAAAGTGTGAGAGAGAAGTTAAAAGATATGGAGAATAAAATGAGATGCCCAACACTGCTAATAGCAACACTTTCCAGCAATAATAGAAAAATATCTTCAAGGAGTGAGAGCAAAATAATTTTCAGACAAATAAATAAATATTTTTGAGACAGGGTCTCACTCTGTCACACTGGCTAGAGTGCAGTGGCGTCAGCATAGCTCACTACAACCTCAAACTCCTGGGCTCAAGTGATCCTCCTGCCTCAGCCTCCCCAGTAGCTGACACTACAAGCAAGTGCCGCCATGCCTGGCTAATTTTTCCATTTTTTGTAGAGATGGGGTCTCGCTCTTGCTCAGGCTAATCTCAAACTGCTGATCTCAAGCAATCCTACCTCCTTGACCTCCCAAAGTGCTAGGACTATAGGCATGAGCCGCCACCCACAAATAAATATTAAGAGAGTTTTCCACTATCCCCTGAAGAAACTACAAAAGAACATACTTTAGCAAGGACCCAGAAAGAAAGTAGAGAATCTACGAAGCAATGGTGATCAGAGAAATTGAGAAGCATGAGTAAGTTCTAAAAAACTTGATCAATCCAATAGCAGGCAGGAAGTATGAAAAAGAAGCACAGACACACAAAATAAAGTGATAGAAATACTTTCAAATACGTCGGTTATCACAGTAAATGTAAATAGAGAAGACATCCCAGTTTAAAGACTTAACAGATTGGATGAAAAGTCATTTCAGCTCTATGCTTTTCACAAGCAGCACTCCTAATATATGGCACAGAAATAAAGAAGCGGAGCAAGTTATACCACTTAAACACTATCCAAAAGAAATATAAGGATAAATCCATAATTGTGGTGGAAGATTTAACACATCTTTTTCAATTACTGATGGATTATCAAACAAATAATTAGTAAGGATATAGAAGATTTGAACAATAAAATGAAAAAGAAGCATCCTGCACCACGAAATTAGAGAATATTCATTTTCAACTACATGTAGACACTTAAAAAACTAAATACACCAAATTAAAAATGTTCGTGCAACCAGGGACACTATCAAGAGAGTGAAAAGAAAACCCACAGAATGGGAGATTACAACTTGAAGAATAAATACTCACGAATCTGTAAGACTGTTAACAAATGAACATATACATGAGGGAGAAGGTATAATACAAACCTTCCTTCTTCCTTACAGAAAACTTCCAAATAATATATAGATGCTCCTCCCTTTAAAGGTGGAGCCTAATTCCCCTTTTATTGAATATACACTGGAATTGCTGAGTTGCTTCCAAAGAATGGGGCATAGGAAGGGAAAAATAGTAACCTTACAAAGGAGAAACCTGGAAGGCACCTCCTGAACCAAGTAGTAAAGGTTAACACCATCTGTGATAGTCCCATTTCTGATACGAAGTGGCGAGAAGGACGCTTCCCCTTGCGGTATTTTTTCTTAAATCCTTAACCCCAGTTTAATCATGAGATAACATCAGACAAACTCAAATTGAGAGACATTCTGCAAAGCACCTGACCAGTCTCTTTAAAACTGTCACAGGATGAAAAAGAAGGAAAGACTAATAAATTGTCCCAGATTGGAGGAGATGATGATTACAACTGAGTGTAATATGGTAGCCTGGATTGGATTCTGGAACGGAAAGAGAATATTGGTGGTGAAAACAGTGAAATCCAAATAAAGAATTCATTTAGTTAAGAGTGTCATACCTATGTTAATTTCTTAGTTTTGAAAAATATGCCATAGCTATGTAAGGTGCCAACGTCAGGGGGAGCTGGATACAGGGTTGATATATAAAAACCAATTGTATTTCCATTAATATAATAACTGCCACACTTGGAAAACAATTTTTAAAAAAATCCATTTACAATAGGATAAATCACAAAATACTTAGTAATAAATGTAACAAAGGTCATGTAAGGCCTGCAGGCTGAAACCTTAAAACATTGCTGACATTAAAGAAGTCTTA